AAAAAATTTTTTTTTTTTTTTTTTCCTATTTTAAACAAAAGTGACATCATGGTTTTGTAACTTCTGCTTATCAGTTTATGAATCAAATACCTTTCCATGTTGCTATAGTTTTCATAAGTGTCCCCCAAAGATCCATGTGCTAAAAGCTTGGTCCCCAACCTATGGCACAATTGAGAGATGGTGATACCTTTAAGAGGTGGGGCATAGTGAGAGAACTTAGGTCATTAGGTGTGGGCCCTCAGAGGAAATCGTTGGGCCACATCCCCTTCTTCCTGGCTTCCCCACATAGAGGGGAGTGGAATTCAGGGCCTCATACTTGCCAGGAAGGTGCTGTGCCGCTGAGCTACATCCTTAGCTGAGGGGAGAGGTTTTGCTCTGCCCAGAGCTCCACAATGGTGCTCTACTGCCAGCCAAAGCAATGGCCCCGTCTGATCAAGGGCTGAACCCAAACTGTGAACCAAAATGAGCCTTTTCTCTTTATAAAGTGACTACATCAGGTATTTGTTGTAATGACACAGCTAACTAATGCATGTCAATAAAGATAGATTTACTTCATTTTTAAAAAAAGACGAATGCTATATATATATACCTTTGAAACAGTGAGTAGGTAATTTAGGGAATTATCTGAACTTTTCTATATTTCTTATTTATCTAGTACATTTGCTCTTTATCTGTATAAAAAATGAAATTTAAAAAGCATGGAAGTAGGGCTGGCCAAGTAGCTCAGATTAAAGCACCTTCAAGCAGGCCCAGGGGTCAGGAGTTCAATTCCCGGGGCTGCTGTGCCAGATCTGCCCCGTGGGTGCTCTGAGACAGCAACTGAGACCAGGCATGGTGGTGCGTGCCTGTACTCCCAGCACTTGGGAGGCTGTAAACAGGAGAATCACTATGAGTCCCATCTAGTAGTGAGACCCTCAACACCCTGTAGAGCCTTCCATAAGGAAGTTAAAAAAAAAAAAAGACTAATATTCCTAACCACTCCTGCTGTTTCAAAGAGCTCAAAGAGCTCCTGTTTCCTGAAGAAACAGTGACCTAACACTTTCCCCTGAGAATCCTTCTTTTAAAATTTCCCTGAAAAAAATGACCAAATGGGGAGTGGACCAAGAGGGTGGGGAGGAGAAAGGAAGAAAGGGACTAGAAAAAAAATGGGAAGAAAAAATGGAAACAAATCTGTAAATAAGGGGGAAAGAGGGCTGAAGGGAGGGGAATGGAAAAAAGAAGCAAGATAGGTCACGTATGGGTACAAACTGCCTATGATGAATGTAATTGTTATTTCTATACAAAATGTACCAAATTTATTTTTTGTGTGTGGCCAGCTCAGCACGCCCTGGGGGCAGGGCTGGCACTGTATGTGGTGCCAGGTATCAAACTGTGGTCCCTGTGCTTGCCTAAGCTTGCCTAAGCAGATGCTTTAGACCACTGAGCTATCTCCTCGGCCCCCCAAAAGTTTTAAAAATTAAAAAAAGTAAAATTTCCCTGCAAAACATTCCAACATTTGCAGGTTATTGGTTGAGAGAGATTGAGGAGAAAGGAGAGCGTAATGAACTAAGCTCATGAATGCATAGAAAGTAGATTTGTAAGAGATTTTTCTTACAAAATTTTAAGCTTATTCCATATAAATAGAGAGTACTCATTGTGTTTGGTGACTTTCTTGGTTAGTTTCCAGATTCATTAAAAACAATGTTTGTGTAAATACCTGTGGCCTAATATTTTGGGAATGACTGTACAATTTTCTGAATGGCAACCAAGTCTCTAAGTTTGAGGGTGTGACTATTCAGTGGGGTGATCGAACACAGTTCCACCCCAGCATCATCACTCTTTACTAAGATATAACAAAGCTCAGCAATAGGCAATCAATCGATGAAAGAGATCTAGAAATATATGTTTCAAGAAACACAACAAATGAAAAGTAAAAGATACCATAAGTTTTTTCCATGAGAGGTTATAAAGGCAAGATGAGAAAATAAAATCGTATCTCAAAATTACAAACAAGAACATACAAATTAGTAGTTCAGATATTCATGACTTTTTTCCAATATGGTAGGCTTCTTTAAAAAAAAATAAGAGACAATTATAATGAAAGTCCATACTATAGAGCAGTATATTTTTATTTTAAATGTATTTAGTACAGGGTCTCCAGGGTCTCACTACACAAATTGTACTCATAGTGATCCTCCTGTGTTCAGCCTCCCAAGCACTGGGATTACAGGGGCACACCTCCATGCCCAGTCTCAATGTCTCTGGGTGCCCTGGAGGTGAGGAATGCACGGCATGCCAGGAATGGAATCCCAGATCCCTTTACCCGCCTAAGCAGGCATTTTAATCCACTGAGCTATCTGGCTAGCCCTATAGTGAAATATCTTTAACAGTATCATTTTGAAAAAGAAATGTAGGGGGGCGGTGATATAGCTCAGTGGCAGAAGCACCTGCCTGGCAAGTGCAAGGTCCTGAATTCGATCCCTGGTACCGCAAAAAAAGAAAGAAAGAAAGAAAAAAGAAAAGAAATGTGAGGCAGATGAAGTTGCTCTTTGTGAGTCCCCATTCACCTATTATATTCTCCATTTATGAAGAATTATGTTCTTATTGGGCACACCCAATTTTATGATTTTATTTAGGGCACTAACATCTCTGTTCCATAATAAATTTAAATATCGCTAGGAACAATTATGAATGAAGCTCTAAGTCTTTGTTATAGAATCCTAGAAAATACTTCAATTTGAATATTTCTGCTGTTGCCTCCCCCCCCCCCCCACAATACTGATTCAGTACTGATGATTGAACTCAGGGCTTTTTCACTGAGCTACATCCCTAGTTATTTAACTTTTCTTTTTGTTTTAGACAAGATCACTAAATTGCCACATTTCCCAGACTCAGTTTTGACATAAATTTCTCCTGTCGCGGTGTCCCAGAGTGCTGGGATATAGGCATGCATCCCCATGCCCAGAGGTAACAGCGGAGGCCTATAGAGCCCCATCTAAATGCTCCAAAGCCCGATAGTTCACAGTATGACAGTGGAATTTAATTTTCACTTTAAGTACCAAGGGACATTTACCCTAAAATATAGATGCACTCAATATCTATGTAAGTTTCACGAATTTTGCCATTTTTCAAGAAAAGGAATCTTTCATCTTTCTTTTACCCTCTAGGAGGGTCTAAGATATTCCTAGCCAAAATAATGTATTTGGAAAGAAACTTGAATTAGACAGTAAGTGCAAGTTTATTAGTAAATTGTTCACAATATTTTGGATTAAGTTTCAGTATTAGGAAAGGCTTATTGCTAAATATATAATATACTCAAGGGCATGTTAAATTTATATTTTCAATCACTTTATGTTTCACATTCTTTGTATTTATTTGCTTTAAAGAGAAATTTTTTCTTTTCCAAACCATAGAATAGCTTCCTGGGGAGAACTTTGTGCAGATGTGTTTGTCAGTTATAAGTCTTACAAAATCTTTTCCCATCAGATTCTTAAACACTGAAAGTATTTTGGGCAATATAGCAAAATTCCATACCATGAATCAACCTTATATACTTCTTCTCATATTGTTATCTTAATTTGTACTTGTTAATATGCATAATTAGTGATATTAGAGAAATAACTATGGCTCTACCAAAGAACAAAGGACTGCATTTGCATACCATCAAAGCTCTTTTTACTCTATGAACATTCTAGAACTTGATCGGAGAGAATAAGGCTGCAAATAATAGAAAGAAAAAACCTTTAATTATGAAGAAAATACTAAACCAGCTGAATATTGTAATGCACCAAAATGCTACATTAAAAGAGAAAAACACAAATAATAACTGCCATAGTACAAAAATAGTTCTATTGTATATATGAATTCAATATATCATACAGTAAAGAAAGGAAAGACTATTTCAAAACACTTAGCAACTTGGAGAAAGTAGTTTAGACCATTCCTTCATACTATGCATCAAAATAAATTCCAGATGACTTAAAGGGTAGATATAAAATATTAAACAATGGAAAAATCAGAAGAAAATAGAACTGAATATGTAAGAAGCCTCAGGAGGGTGATTATTTTTGTACTTAGAAGCAACAAAAACTCAAAGGAAAATGTGAGCAAATTTGTATAAAGTGACCCAATAGGCACAGCAGAATGGGAAAATATCTGTAAAAATATAAAGAATGTATATTCTTGTTATATGAAGAGATTGTACAAGTTGATAAAATTATGCTTAACCTCAAAGAAATGGGTAGAAAATGACATAATATTAGTGAGCAAACTTATAGAGAAAAATGTTGTTTTATTTGTAATTAAAAAAATATAAAAATCAGTTTTCACATAAGAACATAGCATATTGAATGATTAGTTTTTTTGAGACAGGGTCTTACTATGTAGTTCAAACTGTCTTTGAACTTACTATGTAGCCCAAGCTGGCCTCATACTCATGGTGATCCTTCTGCCTCAGTCTTCTGAGTACAGAGATTATAGGCCTGCACCACAATTCTTGGTCTTCATATGTATTTTAAAGCATCTTATTAAATAATCAAAGGTAGTATGAACAAGTCATATGCTGATGAACAATTTACCTTGGATTCAATCATTGTACATACCACAGCCATAAATAATTCTGGGAAAAATAAGACCAATGCTCCAAAAAAGTGACTCTGCTCAGTGTGAAGTTTTATTGGGCTGTGGAAAACAGTTTTATGGAAACATTATCAGTAACAAAGATTAAAGCTCTGAAACAAAGCCAGTGACAGAAGATAGAAAATGGAATCAGCAAATAGATTTGGGGAAAATTAGACAGTTTTGTACTTTTTCAGTCTATTTTGTCATTTCCAACTTTTTGTTGTAATTGCCAAGTTTGCAGTTGATAGACATTTTTAATCCTGCTTATCTTGAAAAATAGATCTTTAGCTTTTCCGCCCGCTCCCCTCTGCCCCTGAGCGCCACTCCGGCTGCACCGCGCTCGCTCTGAGCTCCTGGCTCCTGCTAAGCTTGCGCGGCCGCCACCTTCCTCAATCACCATCATGATTATCTACCGAGACCTCATCAGCCACGGTGAGATGTTCTCCGACATTTACAAGATCCAGGAGATCGCAGACGGGCTGTGCCTGGAGGTGGAGGGCAAGATGGTCAGTAGAACAGAGGGTGCCATTGACGATGCGCGCATTGGTGGTAATGCCTCCGCTGAAGGCCCAGAGGGCGAAGGCACCGAAAGCTCAGTAGTCACTGGTGTAGATATTGTACTGAACCATCACTTGCAGGAAACCAGCTTCACAAAAGAGGCCTACAAGAAATACATCAAAGATTATATGAAATCAATCAAAGGCAAACTTGAAGAACAAAGACCAGAAAGAGTAAAAGTGTTTATGACGGGGGCTGCAGAGCAAATCAAGCGCATCCTTGCTAATTTCAAAAACTATCAGTTCTAAAAAAAAAAACCAAAAAAACTATCAGTTCTTTATTGGTGCAAACATGAATCCAGATGGCGTGGTTGCTCTCCTGGACTACCGTGAGGATGGCGTGACCCCATTTATGATTTTCTTTAAGGATGGTTTAGAAATGGAAAAATGTTAATAGATTCGATGGTAACCTTGTCATCTACACACTTGTCATAACTGGCTGCTGCTTGTCATCTACACAACCCCAGGATTTTAGACAAATGGGACTGATGTCATCTTGAACGCTTCGTTTATTTTGATCGTGATTTATTTGGAATGGAGGCATTGTTTTCAGGGAAAAAACACGTCATGTAGGCTGTTTAAAAATAAAGTGCATTTAAACTCATTTGAGAGAATGCCTCTTAGTTTAATACATATCTAAACTAAGTCCATTGGCAGTATTCATGGAGAAGATAGAACCTGGTCAGAGACCACTGCTAAAAAGCATAAGACTGCCTGCAAATAACTTCTGCAGTGGAACTACTTCTGAGACTGGATTATAAAACAAGAATCAAAGTTTTAATTCTGAGTTGCAGAGAAGGGAAAGAGACTATGTTCATAGTAGTGCCAACATATGAAGTAGAGCCTTACATATTTCATCACCTACAATGGAAGTAGTTAACCCTGGAAGAGATTACCAAAAGAATAAAAAGACTTAACTCAGTTGGAAGCAAAAGAAAAAAAAGAAAAAGAAAAATAGATCTTTAAATGGTGTGCTTTTTTTAAAATTTAAATGGTGTGCTTTAAAAAAAAAAAATCACTGTTGTTCACCTGACAGTGGCCAGGATGTTGGACTTGCTGTCTGTCCCCTCTCAGCAGAATGGCTCTCTCATTGTTTTCCTCAGCAACTCGTTAATACTCCTTGGATTCCAGCTTCCTTCCTTATAAAATAAAAATAATAAAATATAGTGTTTGTCTATTGTCTCACAGGGATCATAAGTATTTTTAGTAGCCTTAATTTTTTTTTTTAATGGCCCAATGGAGAAGTCTCGCTTGAACTCCCAGCTCCTATTTTCCCACTGTCCCAGTTTTCTCTGTATCCAAATGCACAAAGAGTCCCAAGCTGTTGATCTCCTCTCTTAACTGTATGTAATTTGGTCCAGGTTTAATTATATTAACAAGTGGGTTGAACGTAGGCTTTCATCTCTTAGCAATTCCTAGTTTCGTCAATATGGAAGGCCTTCCTTTCACTATACAGAGTTGCTTGTTTGTCCTTTTCCAGATGTCTCCTCTGTCCCCCAACCTGTGCTCACCTGAACAGGGAAGTCCTCTGTAGCTGTACTGCAATTCTCTCTGGCCAGTGACGATATGTGAGTATATTTACAAAATATGTGACAATTTGCTCATCCCATATCATTCTCATTTATGGATTTGTCTAACTCTGGGAGTGGGTGTGAAGAGCCCTTCTTTGTAATAGTTATAAATTTTCATATTAGAAATACACCATAGCCAATTTAAAGCTACTGACATAAGATCTGTGAACACAAAGTTGGGTTGAGAGTTCCAGCAGCACTTTATACAGTGTTTCTCTCATACATAAAAAATGCACATAAATAATCTAGAAAGTATAGATAGTAGTACAATGTAATGAAATGATTAAGAAGTAATATGCTTTAACTGTTTTTACCAGCTGTAAATTTCTATAATTCAGTTTTAAATAATGGTTGCATTTAATATCTTGCACTAACTTAAAACTTTTATCATTGCTCTGAACAAACAGCTCTGACACTACTGGTTTTAACTTGGCCTGAGTACACAATAAATACTTGATTTAATAACTCTGAATGACTCAGTTTTCTATCAAGATCAACTCTGGTCCCAAATACACAGAAACTAGATCCAGATTAGATTATCAGGGTTCCCTGAACATTGCAACATGGAAGGATACAAGGTTGCAAAGTAATCTAAGACTCCTCCCACGAGCTTCCCTGTGTCAATAAAGTCACTCCACTTTGTCTAGTTTTTCTGGCCTAGTATTTGGCTGCCGTCTTTGACTTCCCCTCATGTCCTCTTTCAAGACCATTAGCACATTCTGATGGTTCTACCTTCAAAATTCAGCAAATTCAACCTCTTCTCACTTGCCCAGCATTACCAGCCTGTGTGAACTACTGTCTTTCTTCCTTGGATGATAGCAACTGTATCCTAAATGGTCTTACCTTTTGGCCTCCCTATATAGCCTCAAAACCAGAGTCAGATCAGTCCTTTTAAGGTGTAGGTCATGTGGTATTTTCCCTCTGTTCAATCTTCTTTGGTGGTTTCTCCCAGGAGTATAACTTTATTTTATTT